AGGCCTTGGAACTAGTGCCCCAGTGACTCAGCATTTCACCAGCAGAGCCTTCTAGCGACCTGGGAGGCAGGTGCTCTCTCTGCTTCCTTTTACAGGTGACAGGTGGCCTAGTGGGCCTGAGGCCTGGCCCCCCCCCCCCCGTCTGCCTCAATCAGAGGAGCTCCCAGCTTCCTCCTTTGCTCACTACTTTGATGACTCACTCACCCCTTAGTGTCCAGCCAAGGACACCTTAGGGGTGCCTGGGCTGATGGCAGAGGAGCCGAGGGTCCAGGAGGGTCCGGAGGAGCAGAGAGGGGCCTGACCTCCGAACCCTCCTGGTCAGGGGTCTGCAGGCTAGCGGGCTGGGCCTCCGCTGTGTTGGTCAGCCCTCCTGCCTGCACGCCTCCCTCCTGGGCGCCCAGACACCCAACCCCTCCTCCTGTCAACCCCAGCACCCCACTCCGTGGCTCACCCCTTTTCTGGCTCCTGTCACCGGGCTTCCAGGCCCAAACTCCCAGTCCCAGCCGCCCCCACCCGCACTCACACGCAGAACCCCATGCACACGTCTGTTGGCCCCAGCCAGGCTGTGCCTTACCACAGACACACAGCTCACCTTGCTTCCGCACCCCGGTCGAGAAATGCTGAATGGGGCGACCCCACCCCCACCCCGTGGGGCCCACTCTCGGCGGATCTCATTTATCACTGGCCAAGGATGAGTAATTTTATCGTGAAACACAGTTCAGGGTGATGGATGAGGGAGCAGGCAGGCGACAGGCTCACGCCTCCCTCCCCGGAGAGGAAGGCTGGAAGGAGGGTCCCGCCTCTTCACAAAGGGCCGGGGGCTCCAGGGGCGGGGGCGGGGCAGGGGGAGCCACAGGTAGGCGGGGCGGCAAGGCCAGGGAGGGTGAGGGTGGGGGTGGCAGAGGACACGGGCCAAATCCCCTGAGGGACGAGGCGGCAGGGCCCAGTCAGGGAAAGGCACATGCCTGCCCCAACCCCCCTCTGGGCTAAGTCTAGGGGGTTCCTGCATGGGGACAGTGTGTGTGGGGGGAGGCAGGTGTTCAAAACAGCCATAGTCTATTTTTTCCCCAGGAGTCTTAACCCCTTCATTTGCAGTGGATTTCTCTGTGAATTGAGGTTTTTGTGGTTTTTTTTCCCAACAGTTCCCACCTCACCAGTGGGAGCACACCTAGACTTTTCAAAATCCGAACCGAGACTCCGTGACCTCCTGCGGTGGACTGTGGAGCCCACACTTGGGGAATTTCTGGAGCCTCTTCCAGGTGCCCCAGGAGGATCTAGTCCACGCAGCTGTCAGCGGCTGTGGAGGGGGGCGCTGGCCTGCCCACCCCCAGGGCCCCTGGCTGCAGTGGGGCAGTCGAGGGCCCTAAGACCCCAGGGGGCGGGTCCACCCCAGTGTTGACGTGCCTGGGGTCTGGGAGCGGTACCCAGAGCACCCGGGACCAGCGCTCCCCCAGCAAACCACAGTGATCGGCAGGAGAGGGTCGCTCCCCCAGTCCCAGGGGTGGCAGGACGTCCGGACAGACGGAGTCAGCCCTGCAGCAGCCCCGGACCCTGTCGCCTTCTCTCGAGCAGGGTAGGGGGGATGGCAGGCTGGTGGTGCCGCCGCCGGCGCGCGCGTCCGAGGCGCTGACAGCGGCGCTGTCACCGCGGTTGACAAGCACCGGGAGAGACAGTCCTCGCCGCCCACAGCCGGGGGCGGGAGCCTGGGTGGGGGCGGGGGGCTGGCGCAGGAGCGGCGTTGTCCCCAGGCAGCCGGGCGGCGCGTCCCCGGAGGCCGCCGGCGGCACAGCCCAGGCGCCAGGCGCGTCCGGGAAGTCTAGGCTGCCGCCCGCCCGCAGCTGCCCCGGGGTCCTGCGCGCCGGCCAATCGCCGCGACTCGCCGGCGGCGGCAGCTCCCCGCCCAGCCCCCACGGGGCCGCGGCGGCCGCTTAACCCTTCCCTGCCCATCCCTGCTCCACGTGCGTCACCCGCAGTCGCCCGGGACGCGCAGGTCCCAGGGGAGCGGCCTGCAGCGGGAGCCGGGCGCGGCGGAACCAGGCCCGCGTCCGCCGCAGAGCTCGGGGCGTCCCCGGGGCCCGACAGAGACTCGTGTGCGGGGGGAACCTTCGCGAGCCGCGGCTGCAGGACCCGCGGCCGCGTCCCCGGGATGACTCGCGGTCCGTGCCTTGTCCGAGCCACCGGGGAAACCGCGCCTCCCTCCTGCCTTGCTGCCCACACCCACCGGCCCCGCTGCGGCGGGTCTGCCCGCCTGGCCTTCCTCCCAACGGCCCAGGGAAAACCGTAACGACACACCAGCAACAATTACTACTTTGATGAGCAGTAGCAGCCTGCGAGGCTCCGTGCTGCTGGTGCAGATCCGGACGCTGCGCTCCGGGCACCGCCCCAGGTTACAGATGAGGAAACTGAGGCCCGGAGCCGAGGACCCGGGCCACAGTCGAGGGGCGGGAACACAGCAGGACCCTCCCCCTCCGGCACCACCCTGTCTTCTGCGCCTCTCCCCTTTTCTCCCCCTCCCGGCTCTCTCTTCGGACTGTTTCTTTCTTTTTCAAGGTTGTATTTATTTCTGGAGAGGGGAAGGGAGGGAGAAAGAGAGAGAGAGAAACATCAATGGTGCCCCGTCCAAGATTTAGTCCAGGCACGAACTCGCACCCCAGGCTTGTGCCAGGACCAGCCGGAATCAGGACCTCGACCTGTGCCCGCTGGGTGACGCCCGCCCACTGAGTCACGCCGCGAGGTTTTCCACTCCACTTCCTTCCTGGCTGCGCCTCCCCAGCCCCGGACACTCGAGACAAGACCGCTGCACCTGACCTTGTCCCAAGCCCCCTACGCCCCTCAGCTCGCCCTGCCACCCCGCCTTGTCTGTGGGAACGCGCCGTCCCCTGGGGTCTGCACCCTGATTCCAGCTTCTGCCCTCGCCTGCCGGGAGACTGACTGCCAGGACCCCTCCGTGGCCCTCAGCACGGCCGCCCCCACCCTGCTGTCTCCCAGCCCCCCAGCCCCTAACCCCCCAACCCCCGTTTCTCGATTCTGCTCTGCTCCCACAGCCGGCTGCTCTGGCAGCCCCTGGGCTCCTGCCCTGCTCAGCCCTGCCGAGGGCTGGGAGGTGCCTGCTGCCTGGAGCCTGTACTGTATGTGGGCGCAGGGCAGGCAACAAAAACGAAAAGACTCAGTGAGTGAGAAAAATACTAGTCAGTCGCGTGTAGAGGATTAAGATGGGGGTGTTGTAGCAGGGAAAGGGTTTCTGTGGCTGGTTTTGTCTGGGTGCCCGTCTTGAATACTGGCAGTGAGCTAAAACTTGGCCAGACGGAGGGCCCTTCAGGTAGAAGGAGGGGCCTGGGAAGCCGAAGGCAGGCCGAGCTGGGCAGGGGGCAGGGGCCTGGGGGGTCTGCCACCCCAGTGCTGGGCTCCCACCTGGGGAAGAGAGTGGGCCTGGCTCAGTGCCCAGAGGCTCTGGAGGCCGTGCTTCCCCGGTGCTGGGGGCGGGGGGTCGTGTAGGAAGGACCAGCTCCAAACACTGGCTCAGCCTAGAGAACGTGGGTCCCAGCAGCTGGTACCAGGGGAACCAGCCCCAGCCTCTCCTCCGGGACCCAGGAGGTGTGCCTGCCGTGGACACCCACGCTTCTTCCCACTGCCAGGGGCCAGCGAGACGCTCACACAAGACTGAAAGGAGGCTTCAAAAAATGATCAAGGGACAGAAGACTCCGGTGACTGGAGAATGACGGGAAGGTCTAGGGACTTGCCTTGGATGTCACAGGGAAATCGAGGTGCCACAAAGTGGGGCTCCCTGGGGCTGCTTCGTGGGCCTGGCTTCCTCACATGGCGGCACCTGGAGCCACGCTCCCCAGGATTTGGGCTGGGCGGTCAGGTACGGCCACCTTCAAATGGGGGTGTTTGACGGGCAGCTGTCAGTTCTGAGGACGCCACCCTGGGGCCCGGCCCTTGGGGTCGCTGCTGAGACTTGGGGGGCGGTGACGAAGTCTGGGGTGTGGCAGGAGGCCCAGAGTGAGTTGAGATGCACCTGCACACTCCTCCTGGAGGTGTGACCAGGGGTGCCCGACAGAGGACGGAAGTGGGGAGGAGAGTGTGGGGCCTGGGAAGCCGATGCCTCCTCCCCCAGAGACCCAGGGGGTGATGCGCCAAGGGCCTGCCTTGCAGTCAGAAGATGAAGATGCAAGAGGAGCTTCCCAGGGGGGTAAGGCCAGCCTTGGGTGGGAACTTCGGCACCAGGCCGAGGGCGGGGGGGCCTGATGGGGTGGGGGGCCGAGGCCCGTGGAGGAGGACTGGCCCAGATGTTGCTTCTCAGCGAGTGGAACTGGGGCACGGGTTTTGGAAGTGGGGTAGTCTCGGGGCTTTTAAGAAGACCGGTGAAGCACAGAAGGCAGGGGATGTGGGGCTGGTGCAGGGTCCAGGGCCTGGGTGAGGGCCGGGGAGGCACACAGGGGGGTGCCTGAGGCACATGGAGGGGCCCTGTACTCGGGGATGGGAAGGGCCACATGCCAGGCCCCAGGGCAGCAGACTGTGGGGCTGGTGTGTGTGTGGGGGGCTGGGCTTCCATTGCTCCAGGCACAGCAGCGAATTTGTCGGACACCAGGCCAAGGTCCTTTGTGTTGTGGGAGAAGAAGCGCTCGGATCGGGTGGCATTTAGCGCAGCCACAGGGCTGTGCAAACAGCACTGTCGTTTGGCTCCAAAGCATCTTCATCGCCCCAAAGGAAATCGGGCACCCACGAAACCGTCATTCCCGGCACCCCTCCCCCACCCCGGCCACCACGTGTCTACTTTCAGTCTGTGGATTTGCTTTTCTGGACCGTTCACAAATGGGCTCATACTACATGTAACTTTTTGTGTCTGGCTGTTTTCATTTAGCATAAGGTTGTTGGTGTTTCAGTCCTCACAGGAGGATGTTTATTGACTTCAGAGAGAGAGAGAGAGAGACCAAGACGAAGAGGAAGAGAAACATCAGTGTGAGAGAGAAACATGGATGGGTTGCCCTGACCAGGGATCGAACCCTCGACCTTTTGGTGGGCCAGACGACGCTCTGAGCAATGGAGCCTCGTGGTCAGGGCTCACTTAGCAAATGTTTCTAAGATTGTCCCCTGCTGTGGTGTGCATGGCTGCGTTGTCCCTTTCATGGCTGACCGATATTCCATCATGTGATACGCCGCACTTTGGTTCTGCATCCACCAGAGGAGGGATATTTGGGTCGCTTCCACTTTGTGGTGATTGTGACCAGGGCCTGGATGAGCACGCCTGTGCCTGTACCCGAGCTCCCGCCTAGGCCCGGGACCGCGGGACCACCTGTCGAACTGTGCCCGGGACGCCAGACTGTTTTCCCGGGTGGCTGCACCGTTTCACAGTCCCTCTGGAGGTGCACGGGTGTCCCAGCTTCCCACGCGCCCACCAACGCCTGTCACTTTCCTTTCCTCTGTGTGTAGCCGTTCTAGTGGGCGCGGAGTGGTACCGGGCTTGTCCATTTTATGCGCTTGTTTTCTCAGAGGTTGAACTGTGGGTGCGGAAGGCAGCCACCTACTACGGCGGGGGAGCGAGGGGCCTGGGAGCAGGGACTAGAACCCTTGCCTCCCCAGTTCCAGCCTCTGGGGGGCTCTGTGGTCTCCGTGACAAAACGACCTCGGAGAGCCCTCGCGACTTGCTCAGGCACATGCAGCTTCTCACCGGGGGAAGAATTCGCTGATTCAGAGCCCCCTTGTCCCCTACTTATTCCATGGTGTCCCTGCAGGCTGAGTCTTAGGAACCAGGAGGGTCCCCAGAGGCGCTCCAGTGGCCAAATCTGTTGGAACCAAATTTCTACACGTAGGTACTTCTTGGAATATGAGCCTCTCGGAGGGGATTTGGGAACCTGGCCACGGCTGTGTCTTTTCCGCAACAGTTTCCTGTTTGCTCACCAGTATTTTATATTTTGGAAAGTGTCCGCCGGGTGGCAGTTCGCTGGGGAGCAGCGCCACCTGGTGTCGGCTCTGCGCACCTGCGCGCAGGCTCAGCCGCTGCTCCCGCGGAGGACACCGAGGCATCTTGGCGGGAAAGCGCACTTGCTGTTCGCCGTGGGCCACAGACCGGACCGCGCGCCCTCTGTGACGGTGTTGAGGGTCCACAGCCTCTACGGACAGGGTAGGGGTGCGAGGAGGGTGGGAGGGGCCGTTGCTCTGTAACCCAGGTGCAAGCAGACGGGACCCCAAGCCCCAAAGGCCCTGGTTGGTTCGTTTCATGTTTAAAAATACATTTTATTGATTATGCTATTACAATTGTCCCATTCCCCCCCCTTCACTTCCCTCCACCCTGCACACCCTCTCCCACCCACATTCCCCCCTTTAGTTCATGTTCATGGGTTGTATTTCTAAGTTCTTGGCTTCTGCATTTCCCACACTATTCTTGCCCCCCCCCCATCTATTTTCTATCTACTGTCTATGCTACTTATTCTCTGTACCTTTCCCCCTTCTCCTCCTCCCACTCCTCTGTTGCTAACCCTCCATGTGATCTCTGTTTCTGTGGTTCTGTTCCTGTTCTAGTTGTTTGCTTAGTTTGTTTTTGTTTTAGGTGTGGTTGTTAATGATTGTAAGTTTGCTGTCATTTTACCGAACATGTTTTTTATCTTTTTCCTAGATAAGTCCCTTTACCATTTCATAGAATAAGGGTTTGGTGATGATGAACTCCTTGAACTGCCCTTATCTGAGAAGCACTTTATCTGCCCTTCCATTCTAAATGAAAGCTTTACTGGATAGAGCAATCTTGGATGTAGGTCTTTGGATTTCATGAGTTGGAATACTTCTTTCCAGCCCCTTCTTCCCTGTAACGTCTTTTGAGAAATCCGCTGACAGTCTGATGGGAACTCCTTTGTAGGTGACTGTCTCCTTATCTCTTGTGTTTCTAGGATTCTCTCCTTCATTTTAATCTTGGCTAATGTAATTATGATGCTGTGCCTTGGTGTGTTTCTCCTTGGGTCCAACTGCTTTGGGACTCTGAGCTTCCTGGACTTCCTGGAAGTCTTATTGCCTTTGCCAGATTAGGGAAGTTCTCCTTCATTATTTGTTCAAGTAACATCTCCACTTGCTCTTTTTGTTCTCCTCTGGTACCCCTATAATTCGGATGTTGGAGCATTTAAAGATGTCCTGGAAGTTTCTAAGCCTCTCCTTATTTTTCTGAATTCTTGTTTCTTCATTCTTTTCTGATTAGATATTTCTTTCTTCCTTCTGGTCCACTCCATTGATTTGAGTCCCAGTTTCCTTCCCATCACTATTGGTTCCCTGTGCATTTTCCTTTATTTCACTTAGCATAGCCTTCATTTTTTTCATCTAATTTGCAACCAAATTCAACCAATTCTGTGAGCATCCTGATCACCAGTGCTTTGAACTGTGCATCTAATAGGTTGGCTATCTCTTCATCACTTAGTTGTATTTTTTCTGGAGCTTTGATCTGTTCTCTTGTTTGGGCCATATATATATATTTTTTGTCTTGATGTGCCTGTTACATATGAAGGGTGTAGCCTCAGGTGTTCACGAGGGCGGGGCAACCCAGTCACTGGGTTGTGACACTATGTGTGGCAGGGGTTAGAGAGGGAACAATGGCGCTTGCTCCTCTCTCTGACGGATTTCAGTCACTTCCTCTGCTTCCCACAAGCAGATTGGGCCCTTCTGGTGCTGATTCCTGTGTGGGTGGGTTTGTGTACGTTCTAGGACCCTGTGGGTCTCTCCAGTGAACTCTCCTGTGAGGCTGGGAGTTCCTCCTGGCACCTCAACCCCCGCAGGTGTTTTCAATTGGTGTTTTGAGGCTCTATTTCCTTGCGCTGAAACCCTGGGTTGCGTGGTCTGTCTCACCCCCCAGTTTCACCTGGTTTATCTGCACGCAAACGTGGGACTGGACGCGCTGTGCCCCTCTACAATCTGCTGCCTCGCTGGGTCCACCAGCCGCTCTGCCTTGAGTCCTCTCTGTCTCGGCCCCTCCTACTGTTCTGGATGAATGTTTCTTCTTTAACTCCTTGGTTATCAGACTTCCATACAGTTCAATTTTCTGTCAGTACTGGTTGCCTTTTTGTTTTTAAATTGTCGTTGTCCTTATTTTGGTTGTGCGAGGAGGCACAGCGTGTCTACCTATGCCTCCATCTTGGCCAGAAGTCTGTTTGTTTTGGTTTCGGTTTTGGTTCTCTTAAGGAGTAAACAGAAGGAAGGGGCTTGATGTAGGGACATTTCCTTGACACGAGAGAGGTGACAGGTGGCCCTAGAGCCTCACCAAGCTCTTTAGAGCAGGGGCCTCTTTGATGTCACAGATTTGAGGGTGCAAGGGGCCTCTGCCTCCTGTCCTCCCCGCTCCAGTGCAGAGAAGTCTGGGTTCAGAGAGGCGGGGACCAGCCTCTGCTGCCCTTCCCAGGGCTCCTCCAGGGCCTGACTCAGCAGATGTGCCTGAGAGCACATCCAAGGCCTGGCTTCGCACCACGGAGCTGTCGGACCAGGATTCCTGAGCTATACCGCCCTGGTTGCTGCTGCTGCACCCATCCACAGGCCGCCGGGGGCTTTGCACAGTCCAGCGATTCTCACTGTTCAGGTGACATTGCAGTGACAGAGCTTCGCAGCTCAGGGCCACACCTGCTCACTGAGAGCTTGGGCAAAACTCCAGGACCCCCAGCCCAGATCCAGCCTCTGCAGGGAGGGCTGCTGGACACGCCGGCTGTTTGTGGTGGCTGTTTCTCTCCCCACGAGAAGTTGCCTGCTTGCCCATCACTGGCTTGTGGCATTTCTGAGTTTGAAAAAGCACGTAGAAACTGACCTGTCAAGGAGTCTGAGATTCCATCTCCTGGGCCTTGGCCTTGGCCTTGGCGTAGCCAGATTAGGGAACCCTGGGGGCAGCAGGGGCCCCGGGCCCACTCAGATGTCCGGATGGTTCTGGCTGAGCCCATTTATTCAACAATGTGTATTGAGCACCCACTAGAAGCAAAGACTTTGGGACACACTTAGTACAGCTTCCAGTGAAGGAAGCAGACTCCACCCCTGGGCCTCGGTTACAGCCAGGGAGTCACTCGCGGTGACCCGATGCCACTCGCGGGCCCTGCCCACCACACATCAGCACCGATGCCCTCAGCCCCCTCTGCACATGGGGCACCTTCCCAGTTCCTGACAGGATGACAGGTCACAGGAAATTTTGCAAAAGTGAGTGGACTTTGGGTCCAGCGGGAGGGCTTCCGGTTCTACAGAACAGGGCGGGGGTAGAACCTGGGTCTGTGGGTGTGGAGGACCCGGCAGAACGCTGGACTTGACGCCCCTGCCAATCCCTGAGGGAGGGCGGGGCCTGGCGGCTTCCGCTGCAGAAGGTCAGGGGTCAAAGAGCACTGTGGGTGGGGCCCAGGTTCCCTGGAACCAGAGGGGGGCTGAGCTGAGTTGTCCTGTAGAGTCCTAGCCCCGCCACAGCCCCGTCCTGCCGCCCGCCCCTCTCCACACTCACCCCCGACCACCAGCACGAGGCCCAGAGGGGAGGTGTGTGGGTGGCCGGCTCACAGATCGGTCTCAGGCCCCAGTCCGGATGTCCAGGCCCTTTGGCAGACGCGTCGGTGGCAAGGAGAAACTCACACAGACTCCGTGTCAAACCTGCTGGGTCACCAGGACAGCCACACAGGGCCCGGGGTGGGCTGTGCCCTGGCATAGAGCCCAACAAGGGGCTACGGGAGGGCAGCGTGGAGGGATGCCCAGGGCTTGGGCTCTGCAGCCCACCTGCCTCCCTCGGGACCATTGGTCTGTGGTGGGAACCTGGCCGGACCAGGTGTGAGATTTCGACCAGCCCCGGCACTTCCCTGTTTCAGGGTGAAGTTTTGTCTAAGGGCGGGTCACCTGGCCTGGCTCAGACCTGGTGGGCTCTTCCCACCTTCTCCAGGCCCAGCTGCAGCATGTGGAGCCCACTCAGGTGGAGCTGGAGAGTGAGGGTCCTGGGCCGGGCTCCCCCTAGAGGCAGCGGCGGCGCCCTCCCGCCTTTGGAGAGGCACTGTGAGCCTTTTCCTTATTCTGCTCCAGAACCAGGTCCCGAGCCCCAGCCAGCTCCAGGACCGGAGCCTGGTCTGGCCCTGGCTCCACCCCAGGCAGGAGCAGAGCCCCTCCATCCACCCCCCCCCCCCCCCCCCACCTCCCCACAGCTGGACCAGCTGGGCCACTGGCTCTGGTGTGACTGCCAACTCCAGCCCCAGAGTGTGACCCCTGGGCCGTGACACCAAGAACCTGCAAGGCGGGGAGAGGCCCAGCCTCCTGGGTTCCCTCTGAGGCTGGTGGCAGAAGAGTTGACTTTAAAGGGCGACCTGGACAGCGGGGCCCTCAGGGTGGGACAGGACGGGCTTCCCCTCCGCCACCAGCTGCCCTGGCCTGCCTTTACCGATCCAGACTCCTCTGGTCCGGCTCTCAGTCCCATGACCAACGGTGTGACCCGGGCACTTCGCCCTCGAGCCTTCGCCGTCCAGCCGTGCAGAGTGGAGGGAGGCACGGCACAGAGCAGCCGGGTCGATGAGGCCGGACGGACCGCAGGATGCGCAGGCCCCGGCCCTGCTGGTGGGGGAAGGGTCTCACTGCAGCCTGGTCAGTCACCAACCCATCTGCTCAGGAGGCTCAGCAGCGATGATTAGGCCCCCAGTGGGCACTTGACCATGAGGGAGACAGGCACACGCAGCCTATGGCCGAGGCTGCACCTGAATGGGCCGTGGGACCAGAGGGCTGATCAGGGTGCTGGACAATGCCCTGCCGGGAGGAGCAGGCTGGAGCTGTGTCCTGGAGCTCGGAGGTGGTGAGGATGGGCTGGGTGTAAACGCTCCTCTCGCTTCCTGGCCAGTGTTGGGCTCCGGGTGGTCCGGTGCTGGGCGCCCTCGGTGGGCAGAGAACTAAACCCAGGGACTCCCACGAGGCTCATGCCACACCCTCGGCTTCCCGAGCTCCAGCTCTGACCAGTGGCCCGTGCCAGGGGCTTGGGGGCACTGTGGCCACTGGGTTGAGGGGCGGCAGGTCTGGCGACACTCTCCTTTCTCCTGGGGGCTGGTCACAGAGGTGGTGCTGCCCACTGGCCGGTCTCCATTGATCCCAAGGAAAAAGCCTGGAATGAGCCCCTGGCGTGCGCTGTGCATGTGGGCAGCACCCAGTTGCACGCGGGGCCAACTGCGTGGTTACCAGCTGCCCCAGAGCCCCGAGCGCTGTGGCCCAGGACAGGGCCGGGGCAGTGGAGCCCCTCACTGAGGTGTCCGGGTGGGGGCAGCCAGGGGAGGCCCCTGCTGCTTTCTCTGCCATCAGGACCTCTGCCTAAGCCCCTGTCCAGGCCCCCTGCCAGCGGCCCCTGACCTTGACTGTCATAGCAGTGGGAGGCTCGATCGCTTCCTGGCTCCTTCCTCGAGTTGAGCTGAAACCCTCCTCTGGAGTGTTGCTCTTTGGATCCTAACTGTGGCCTCCTTCGGCTGCCTGAGCATCTGGCCCCCTCAAGAGGGGCTGAGGCCAGGGCCACCATGGCTCCTGCACCCCAGTTCAGAGCTCACCTCTTCCCTCCCCTGCGCTGAACCCTCCTGCTGCCAGGGATATGGGACAAAGTTTCCAGTGGGTAGGTCCCCCTCCACAGGAGGAGCGGGGTGCTGAGGGAACTCCATACGTCTCCCAAAGTCCCCTCAGCAGCCGGGACCTCCTGGGAGACAGCCAACCCTGGGGACTGGGCTGGTATGCGGGTCCTTGAAGCCTCCCTGGAACCTCTGGCCACCAGTTCTGCTTTGAGAATCAGTTTCCTTAAATGTCAGATTCGGGGTTGAGCCAAATTGGGGATTTTCAAGTGTTCATAGCAAGAGAACCCTATGCTCCCAAAACTGGTCAAAACAAAGGTAATCAATGGAAACAGGTCGGAGGCCCCGGTGACCAACACTGACCAACACGAGAGCCCGGCCTGACCCTCAGGCACCTTCCTGCTCAGGGGAGCCCGGTGAACATGCCCATTCAGGCATTTTGGAAGTTTCCGGTTCTCACATAACAGGAATTCCCACTTAGTTCCTCACGCTAGTCCTCCGTGTTTCCTTCCCTCTCCTCTTCCGCTTGGGGAAACGCTCCCGAACATGTAAAAACTCGTTAGAATGGGCAGCGAGGGCGTGTCAGCCTGGAGGTGCTGGTGGCCCCGATTCGGGGAGGGGCCTGTGCCCGTGAGCGGGACACTGAGGCCGCGGGGGCGGGTGAGGGACGGGCCCGCGGCACTCGTCGGAGCCGGCCCATGCCTGGCCCAAGCCTGCTCTTAAACTTGCCTCTTGCAAGTATTCATTTATTTCTGCGATTAAAATAATTAACTTATATTAACTTATTCTGCTTCAGTACGTGTGTCCAGTCCGCCGCAGGGAAACGGCCTTGGCGGACACATCAGAACCAGCGACCCCGGGACTCCGCCCACATGGGGCCTCGGGCAGGGGAGCAAAGATGCAGGGCTCAGCGGGACCCTACCGGACCAGCCGAGCAGCTCTGTCCCCTTCCCTTCGCTGTTGAGGGAGCGGGAAACCCTGGAACAACGAGAGGAGAAGCAGCAGGGGAAGAGGTGCCTGGCTGGACCATTTATTTTTGTTTTCCCTATTTTAGGGTCCATGTTATTAATGTGCACTTTCACTAGGACATCCTCTAGGTTAAAGTTTGATGCAGTAGGTTTCTCTTATTTGACTCTCAATTTCCCTCTCCTTTTTTTCCCCAGAATTGTTGCAATGAATACACAGATATTGGTACATTATTATTAACTTGTATCTATATTCAGTTTCCCACAGCGGAGGCTCAGTCCCAGTGCTGGCGCCTCTGTGTGTTAGAGCCCTGACTGGTCTCCCAACCAGGGAGGCTGATGGGACCTCTGGGGTTCCTGGGGACGGAGTGGGGGGGGATGGTCTGAAACAAAACCAGGAGGAGGAAGTGGGGCCTGAGAGGGTCTCAGCACTGTGCTGATGAGGGAGACCACTCTCTAGGCTGGGGTGGGGGAGGCTGTTGGCGGTTCTCATGCGTGGGAGGGGGTGGGATCAGATCCCTAATTTTGAAAGATCAGCTGGTCACAGTCTGGAGACTGGATTGGACGAGCCGGGGACAGGAAGCAGAGGGACAGTGAAGGGACTGGTGGGGCTGGTGCTGGCCTGAGCGGAGGCAGGACCCTGAGTTTGTGGAGGAGCAGGGGTGTGAGGACTGGAGAGAGGCTGTGGTCAGTGCTGCCCTGAGCAGGAAGCCAGGCCGGTGCAGGAGTGAGTGCCCTCGGGGAGCTTGGCTGTGTGGACACCAGTAGGAGAGTGCGTTCTGCTGAAAGGAAGGGAGAGTGTGTGCCTGATCACATGTTAGCAGAAAGCTGAATGCCCCACCTCGCTGAGTCCTTGCAGCCGCCCTGTGAGGGAGCAGAGGAGGAGACTGAGTTTCCAACTATTTGCCTGAAATCGCACAGCTTGTAGGTGGTGGAGCCAGGAGTCGGGTTGCGCCTGTCTGGGACTCAGGCTCTTCCCCACAAGGGATCTGTCGCCCTAGACTCCAGCTGAGCCTCCAGGAAGCTCGTGCCAGGTGAGGCCTCAGAGGAAGGGAACATGGATAGATGCAGAGCAGTGCTCTGGACTGAAGAACAGATTTTAAACAGTGAGGGAACAGGCAGGGAGTAGACGTGGGAAGTCACTGTTGCAGGGATCTGGGGCTATTTGTGCTCCTGCAAACGGCCAAACCACCTCCTCCTCCCTGCCTGCCCCCTTCCCAGCGGCAGAGGGTGGGGGAGAGTGTGTGGCTGGCTGGGCCATTAGGTTACGTGCAGGTTTCTTCAAGGGGGGATGACCAAGATTCAGCCCAAACCTGCAAAATTTATGGGATTCTTGTTTGTCCGAGGCACTGTGTGCACATGCTTTCCAGGCCCATCTTGGACCATTAGTCCTTGGTTCTGGACTTTGAACTATGGCAGAATCAGTCTTCAGTTTAAATACTTGTAAAATACAGTTGACAAGTGTTCCTGTCTCATCTACCTAATGCGAGCAGTAGTTAAGATGAGGCATGTGAAGGGCTTAAAATAGGAATTGTATCACAGTGAGCTTATTGCCAAGTCTGGATTTTGTCTCTCTTTTTGATATTCTCTTATTAATGCAGAATAGGCAGAGCCTGTGAGCAAGGAAAATGTGGTCTTTGCTGTCACCTCGAATAACACTTCAGGCGATGTGACCGGGGGAAAAAGTATTCTCTGCTGCCATCTTGTGCGCACCTTGTGCATAGCACCTCAGTGGAAGCGATCAGGAACTGCTCTTTTCTGCTGCTAGCGCGCATCTTGGGAATAAAAATGGAGGCCACCAGGAAAAGCTCTGCTGTTTTCTGTGCATCTTGAGAACAACACCTAAGAGGAAGTAACCAGGAAAAGGTTTTCTCTGCTGCCATATAGTGTTTAACCAACTAGTAAATAACACCTGTGGATGTCATAATAAAATGTTATACTCTGCTCCCATCTAGTGTGCATTGTGGGAATAAAACTGTGCGTAGTTGACAAGGAAAAGTGTTCCCTGCCATATCCTGTGCAACTAATAACTAAATGTGTACTATCATAAAATGTTATTCCTGCTGCCATCTACTGTACACTTTGAAAATAACATCTGAGTGGGGGTCAGCTGGAAAAGTTTTTCTCTGCTGCAATGTTGCCTGCTACTTAAATAACACCTGAGGCCCTACCCTGACTGGTGTGGCTCAGTGGTTTAGGCGTCGCCCCGCAAACCAAAAGGCTGATGGACCATGGGATCTGGGCACATGCCTGGGTCATGGGCCAGGCACTGACCGATGTTTCTCTCACTCTCTCCTTCCCTTCCCATCTCTCTAAGAATAAATAAGTAAAATCTTAAAAAAAATTTTTTTTTAAGTAACACCTGAGGCTCTGGGCAAGTAGCTCAGTTGGTTAGAATGTCATTTGAATACGCCAAGGTTGCACGCTCAGTCCCCAATCAGGGCCCATATAAATATCAACCAATGAATGAGTCAATAAGTGGGAAAAACAAATTGATGTTTATCTCTCTTTAAAAACCAATCAATAAAAGAAAGTTAAAAAAGCAACACCTGAGTGGAGGACCCAAAGAAAAGCTATTCTCTGCTTTCATCTTATATGTAACCTGTAAATAACAACTGAGTGTATGCTATCATAAAAGTTGTTATCTGCTGCCACCTAGTGTGCATATCGAAACTAACAACTGTGTTCAGTTCAGGAGAAACAGCTCTGCTATAACTTAGAATGTGAATTGGGAAAAAAATCTGAGAGGTGGTCACTAGGAAATGTACTACTCTACTGCCATCTAGCGTGCAACCAGTGAATAACAAGGGGTTATGTCCATGAAAATTTATTCTCTGCTTTTTTCTAGTGTGCATCTAGTGAATAACACCTGATTGGTTCTCGCCATGAAATGTGCCTCTCTGCTGCCATCTATTGTTCACCTTGGGAATAATACCCGAGTTCAGGTCATGAAGAAAAGCCCTTTTTTTTGTTGCCATCTAGCGTGCATATTAGAAACACCACAGTGAAGTTTGTCAGGAAACACACTTCTCTGCTGCCATCTAACGTGCATCTTTGAAATAACAACCTTAGGGAAGTTCGTTGATCTACAGAGGGGGTTGCCCTGGAAGCTTTGCCAGTGGGGGTGCGGGGGTGGGGTGGGCAACCCTGGGGACACTGCACCTAAAATAGGGGATTCTGAAGTGAACTGTAGGTGCTTATCAAACCTACATGGAAGAGTTCAGGGCCATCCCTTCCTGTGATGCAGACTCTGGCCCGCGGAGTCTGTGTGTTGTAGATGCGGTAAATAAATTCACACAGACTGCAGAAATCCCATGGAGGAAAAGGGATCGCGTGGCCACTCTCTGAGAGAGAAAGCACCCTGGCCGCTCTCTCAAGGGGAGAGCTCCTCAGCCCTTGCCTGGACAAGCTTTTATTGCTTTCCAGTGGCGTTTCAGCAAAGAAGCTTCTCATTCATTCTCCTTGGGTTTACTTCTCCTTAGTGATTACTTCTTACAGATAACAAAAAAGAAAAATGTTACAAATACCAGGGAATGATAGAAATGATTGATTTGGTTACATTTCATCCTTGGGAGGCTTAGCACAGACTTTAGAAAGTTACTTCAGAGATAAACATTAAACATCTGCAGTCTTAAATCAGGGTAAGGGAGCTTTTAGCAAAAGCAGGCCTTAAAGCAGCCCAGGCACAATGCCAGCCTGGTTCCCCATGGGAAAACCGAACTGCATGCCTCAGTCCTGTGTGCCGCTTCTCATTCAGTCGGTTTTCCGGTTTGATGCTGGGCTACATTCTCCACTGCCATGCTAATCAGTTCCCTATATTCCTGCTCACACTGTCCACTTTTGGTGAGTACCCTCTGGCTCCCCTGTGTCTACCTAAGGATACACACATTCAGTTTTATCAAATCATCATACTTCACATTCTAGCCTGACCCCACCACTAACACCACTCCACAGTCTCTCACCCAAGGTATTTTTGTCTACAAAATGAGACCCATAGAATATCTTATAATGGTTGCAGAATAAGACTGTATCAGAATTCCCTGTTATTGGACTTTGATTTTTAAATGTGTCCATTTTTTTGCTGTGATTTATAAAGCTGTCATCAACATCTTTGTAACTAAATCTTAATTATTTCCACAGGGCAGAAGTAGAATTACTGGTCAGAGGGGATGTATATTTTTATGTGTTTCTGAAGGCTGTGTCTATGGCTCTGGCTGGTAGTTTCGGGGAATGCTGACATTTTTTCCACGTGGTTGTTTACCAGAACCACCATGGCCACCTTCAGAAGCAGTGATATCCAGGCCTGGACTGAGAACCCCTGAGGTTCTGGTTTCAAGGCTCTGGGTTGCAACCAGGATTTGTAGTTTTGAAAGGATCTTTTGTGAGATTTTGATATATAGCCAATTTCGAAGGAGAAAGTGCTGTTTCATTATTGTAATTATAATGTTCTTCTGCAATTGTTTCAGACAGTCAGATTTGGGAGAAGTGGCCCCAGAAATAAAAGCCTCTGAGAGAAGAGCAGCTGTGGCCATCACAGGTATAGCTGGAATAATTGACATCTTTTTCATTTGGAAATTGTTGTGACTGGAGAACATTTTATTCCTGTTCTGCCCCCTTATTCAACACGCATAACAGTTAGAGGCCACAGGTTATTTTTTTAAATGTAACTCCACATTTGTGAAGCATCAAACTTTTTTTTAAAAGATTTTATTTATTTACCTTTAGAGGGGAAGGGAAGGAGAGAGAGGGAGAGAAACATCAATGTATGGTTGCCTTTTGTGCATCCCCTGCTGGGAATTGGCCTGCAGGAAACCGGCTTGCAACCCAGGTACGTGCCCTGACTGGAATCGAACCTCGATTTTCTGGCTCGCAGGCCCGCGCTCAATCCACTGAGCTACAACAGCCAGGGTGACACAGTTTTAAAAATTAGAAATAAAACATTCCTAGTGATGTGGGCACGAAAGACACTGTTCTATCAACAGTTACTTTTTGAGGCCCCAGTTTCAAGTGGTCAAAGGAAACCTGACCGTGTAGAATGCACATGCCGAACGAAGCCCAGAGACTGGCGTCTCGGCCCCTTCTTCTCCCAGGGTGACCTCGAGCAGCCCACCCTCTACCTGTGCTTCCATTTCCCTCCACGCAGAGGGAAGTCCTGTCCTCCCTCCCATGGGAACCACAGCTGCATCAGGGGGATGATGAGGGCAACATCAAAACAAAACAAAATCCAGCCAAATGTTGGCAATTTCCTATATTCAACCAAACAGAAGCAAAGATAGCTATTTATCTGACAGCTCTGTGAGGGTCAGTAACGACTGGAGACCAAGTACCACGGTGACGCTGTGGTCTGGGTGCCACAGGCCCTATGATACAGATCCTAGCACAGGTAAAGCCCTGCTCTCATCCTTGAAGGATTGGGTCAGTGTTTCTTTTAAAAAGATTTTATTGCCCTGGCTGGCGTAGCTCAGTGGATTGAGCGAGGGCCTGCAAACCAGAGGATTGCGGTTCGATTCCCAGTCAGGGCACATGCCTGGGTTGCAGGCCAGTTCCCTGCAGGCTATTTCCCAGCAGGGGAAGCACTAGAGGCAACCATACATTGATGTTTCTCTCCCTCTCTCCTTCCCCTCTAAAGATAAATAAAATCTTTAAAAAAAAGATTTTATTTATTTTTAGAGAGAGAGAGGGAGGGAGGGAGAAAGAGAGGGAGAGAAACATCGATATGTGAGAGATACATCCATCAGTTGCCCCCTAAAACCAGGCGTGTGCCCTGACTGGGAATCAAAGTCTCCAGGCCGGCACTGAATCCACTGAACCACACCAGCCAGGGAAAACTGGGTCAAGTTTTAATCAAAAGAGATTTTTCTTCACTTGTGGCTAGATCCAGGAGTTTCTTTTTTTTTATTTTTAAGTAATATTATTTGAAGATACTACGGAAAGTAAACTGTGATGGCAAAAAAATTTTAATTAAAATGGTTTAAAAAGCCAACAAATTTTCAGAAATTTATGTTCATTATAGAAAATACAGATAAACCAAAAGAAAAGAAGTGACACATGATCGTACTGTCCAAAGATAAATGACTAACTTTTGAAATACTGTCTTCTACATTTTTTATTGTGTGGATATAAGTATATGATTTTCTTTTACAAAAATGGCATCTGGTTGACAGTTTTTGTGACCTGGTTGCTGTGTATCTTGAGGACTTTAATGTAGTACATATCCACATAATAATAAATAATAATAATAATAATAATAATAATAATAAAAAGTTTGGAGACAACTCCAGCAGCCTAATTTGTAGAATCTAAAAAAACACTCCAAGGGGAGGCTTGAGGGCCCCGTTGTCGTCCTCAGGACACCGGTGTGAGACTTAGGGTGAAACCTCACGCTCTGCACCCCCAACCTCCGGATCTGAACCAGGAAGCCAACTGACAAGGGCGGTGCCAGGAGGAGGGGTGCAGAAACAAGCGTCCGGCGACTCGCACCCCCCCGCGCCGGCTTCGACTTGGGCTCGTCCGAGGTGAAGCCTCCCGGCGCTGACCTTTGCTCGGCGACGCGCTGTTACGTCACGGGCTGCGCTCGGCCGAAGATGGCGGCCTCCATGTGCTGCCAAGGACTCGAGCCGTGGGTGAGTGGACGGTGCGGGCGGGCCAGGTGGTGGGCGGGGGTGCCCCGGTTTCTCTGTCACGCTCTCCCGTCCATTCACAGGTGCTTTCCTGGGGCCGCGCGCTGCCGTGTGCGTGGCGCGCCCTGCACGTCTCCTCCGCGTGCGCCAAGGTGAGCGGTCCGGGGCCGAAGGGCGAGGGACGCCTGGCCGGGGGTGGGGACTAAGGGAGGAGGAGAGGGGGGTCCAGGTCGCACCCTGGGTGGGGCGCGCGGACTTACGGTGGCTGTCTGCTCGTAGAATCGAGCGGCCCGGGTCCGAGTGGGCAAAGGGGACAAGCCGGTGACCTACGAGGAGGCGCACGCTCCTCATTACATCGCCCACCGCAAAGGCTGGCTGTCGCTGCACACAGGTGAGGGGACCCCGGGCCGCACCAGAGGTTTTGGGCTGTGACTCTAACTCAGACTCGACAGGAGCAGGTGTCCGATGTTCCTTCCCATCAGTAGTCAGTGACCGAATCCGAAGTCAGTTCCAGACGTGCAGAGAAGTGACCAGGCAGAGGCAGGTCAGCAGTGCTGACCTGGGTTTGGAGCATCCAGAACTGGCTCCTTTCGCGGGGAGCGAGGACCCCGTTCCACCTCCTCGGAAATGACATGCGTGACTCGAGGCAGGAGTTGCTTTGCCGTCCGTTATCTGTGATTGATAGAGACGCCGAGTGGCTCAGAGCCCTCGGAAACGGCATGGACACGCGCGACAGTGCACTCTACGCACTGCAATTCCTGTGGAAGCAGGGGTTTTTCTGTATTTTGTGTTTGTGAAAGTGCCTACTCTTGACACTTTCTCGGTCTTTTTCAGACACAGCCACCTTCCCACAGGGCTCTGCTCTTTTTTTTTTTTAAGTTATTTATTCTTGTAAACTCTTTGAGTTTATTGGGGCAATACTGTTTCATGAAATTACATAGGTCTCGGTGCACAGTTCTGTAAAACATCATTCGTTTATTGTACTGTCTGTTCACCACCCCAGGGCAGGTCTCTTTTTGGGCTCTGTCCTCTTGTTTCGGCTCTCCTACAATAAATGTGTGTCCTTCTCGAGGTTTCTTAGTGCCATGTTTTTGCAGTTTGGTTGGTGACTCCACTACCTTAAAATGGCCGGGGATGACCTCGTCTAGGGTCCTGAGCTCAAGGAGGCTTGACGTGCTTTACAGACAAAACTCTCGTCTGTTGGGTTGGCTGCCCCCAGGCATGAGTTCCAGTGCAGTGGGGAGACTGCAGTGGTAACCCGCCCATGCAATAAACAAGGTGTCTTTAAGTGAAAACACATATGGCGAGGTTACATACTGATCTGTTGACAAAAATAACTCGACCAAAGGCTTGCAACCCTGTGTTCCCCCAGGCACTGCGGCTGAGTGTTTGCTCACTCGTTCACAGTGGCTTCTGTAAATTAACGACCATCAACTGTTTGGTTCAGTCTGAGAGTTCGCAGCTTGGATGTTTGCTGCACCCCTAGGTAGAGAAATTATTTAAAGGCTCTTGTTCCTTCACCTTTTCCGGGGTCTGGTTCTGAGGTTGGAGGTGGGTGTGGAGGCCCAGTGGAAACTCTGAGAGGTGCAGCGGGTGCAGGGTCCCCACTGGGAATTCACTGGGTGAGGCCATGGCCCTGGCTGGTGAGAGAGCTCACGGCCCAAACCTCAGAGGAGCCAGCAGCCTCGTCTCCGGCTTGCAGGGTGACTGGTGTGCTAAGGCAGACAAAACAGGGTGGGAAAGGGAGTGAGGGAGTGGCCTTTCATCTGAGTTCTGTGCCCTGGCCAAGGCCTCGTGCTTTCCCTCTGTAAAGCAAGGAGAAAGCAACGGTACCTAGTTGGATGAAATGATATACTTTGAACTTTAAATCGTTGTTCTTATTCCACTTACAGAAGAGAAGAGGCGGGGTCGGGTGGAATTGGGTGCCCTGTGCTGTTGTCGGTGCTGCCTCTGCAGCTTTGGCCGATTCTGTGGTGCCCTTCTGTGTTCAGGTAACCTGGACGGGCAGGACCACGCTGCAGAGCGCACGGTGGAGGATGTTTTTCTTCGCAAGTTTATGCTGGGCACCTTCCCCGGCTGCCTGGCCGACCAGCTCGTCCTGAAGCGCCGGGCTAACCAGGTGGAGATCTGCGCTCTGGTCCTGAGGCAGCTGCCTGCGCACAAGTTCTACTTCCTCGTGGGCTACAGCGAGACCCTGCTGTCCCACTTCTACAAGTGTCCCGTGCGTGTGCACCTCCAGACGGTGCCCTCAAAGGTTGTGTATAAGCACATCTAGGACGCTCGTCTTTTCTGCATCAGCCTCCGGCAGCACAGAAGCGTGTGGGGGAGGGGTGGAGTGGGGATGGGGAAGCACGGCCCTGAGTCCACAGACTTCGCTTTCAGAGCTGCTGTTGAGTCGCGGACTGCCCCTGGGGTCTGGCCCCTCGTCTGCCTTTACCCTTTAGGAAGAAGAACTCAGACAGGGTTGCCCTGAGGGTGCTCAGGGTCCCAGGAAGGGGCCGCGTACGATGCGCTGTGGTAGCAGCTTTCAGGCTGTGGAAAGTGTTGTTAACTACAGTCACACGGTTTTCACCCGGGTCTCAGGTACTCGTGCGTCTTGCGTAACTGAGACTCGAACCCCGGACCAGCATCTCCCATTCCCCCTCCTCCTGCCCCTGGTGACCAGCACTCTGCTCTGCTTCTTTGTCAGCTGCTGTTGGTGCCCCGTGAAAGTGGGATGGTGCAGCGTCTGTCGTTCTGGGTTGGGCTTATTTCCTTTAGTGCAATGTCCTCTGGTTTACCCACACCCCAAGTGGAGGGACGTCTTTATGGTGGCTGAGTGACATTCTGTTGTGTGCGTGTGCCACGTGTGAGTCCACCCTCTGATGGGCAGGTGGGCCGCTCCCGTGTCCTGGCCACTGTGAGTGATGCTGACACGAACTTGTGGGTGTGCACGCGTGTCTGCGGTGCTGGTTCCACTTCTGGGAAACCCCCAGAGGAGGACGTGCTGGGTCACGCGTGGACCTAGTTGTGGTTTCTGAGGACCCTCCAGCCCGTTTGCCACAGGCCACTCGCTCTAAGTTGCGTTCCTACCAACAGTGTGTGAGAGGCTCCCTTTTCTCTGCAGTGAGCACTTTGTTTTCAATGTGGGGAGATCAAGGACGCCTCCAGGAACCTCCTTGTAGGCTCCTCCTGGGGGTGAGCACCGGACCTCCCAGCACACCTGCGTCAGAAGGGCCTGTGGACGGGAGGGAGCTTCGCTGCAGCGGGAAGCCGAGGCTGTGGGGCTCAGACGCGGCCCGAGGGAAGGGGCAGGGAGGCGCGTCCACCGCAGCTCCTCACGACCCAGGTGCAGGCAGCCTGGCTGTGGGCAGGAGGAGTCTGGCTCGAGGGGTGTATTCCAGGCTGGCGGTTTTGGTCTTTGGCGGGTCAGGGGCCTCCCCGCAGCCTTCTGAGAGGCCAGCCTGTGTCCTTGCCGCCCGGCACCTGGCTCCTCGGTGCTGGTGGACGCCCGCTCTGCTGCAGGTGCACAGCTGCCCTGGAGACGCCTGCCTCACGTGCTTTCCAAGTGGGAAGCCCCTGGATTGGGCGTCCCGGTTACATCAGTTCGTGACTCTTTCATTTTCACCCACCTGGTCATCGTTTCAGCCAGACACCCCTTGTGTATGGAGGACCGAGTTCTCTCAGGATGAAGCCCAGTGGTTGCAGCTTTTCTCTCTGCCCATCCTGCCCCTCCACCTGATCAAGATCTAGAAATGAATTGGAAACTCATTTGTATCTTTTGTTGCACCTAGGGAGATGGTTCAATCCACGATGGAGCATGTAAATAAATGTATACGTCTAGAATAGTATTTCCAGTTGTCACCTGCTGAAAGTTGAGACATGGCCGATACTGGCTTTTTATTAAATGGCTGCGTTGCACAGAAGTCAGTCTGTACGATGGAGAATGTGATGGGTTTTGTAAGTTCTTTACAAAGACGTTCTTTTGCACTGCATTTAAAATAAGTTTGTTAAATTTTATGATCCTCTTGTGCCTTCGTGGCAGGCTGGCATTTTCAGTGACTATTTCGTGAAGCGGGTGAGACGTGCAGGACCCCCTGCAGCCTCCGCGGAGGAGCAGCTGCATTCTCACCCCCCCCCCCCCGTGTGTCAGTCCCGTGTGCTGCCCTGGCACTGAGTTGCCGCGTTTAACAAGATGCTCGTGTCTCTTGATGTGGGACTCCCACAAGTGAGCTCTCTTGTCCCCTGTGTGACCTCCTGTGCTCACCTGCTCTCTGGAAGCACCTACGATTGGGGGAGACGGCAGTGGTCACAGAGACCTGGCCCCTGACTGGTGTCACAGGATTCCGGGCCAGTCCTGACTTGTCCCACCACTGTCAGGTCACTTGTGTTGCATGTTGTGATCACACTGAATCATATCTGTTCTGCAATTTTTGCATCCTTATTTCGGCATGCACTGTTACGAAAGCATAGTTACATCCATACATGGTGTGGCAAGGTCCCAGCGTGCCTGGTGCTTATTTGGAGAACACGGGGAGAAAGACACAAGGAGAGGACGGGGAACACAGCACACAGAATCTGCAAACAGAACAGAGGCAACACGGAAAGGGGCAGAATGAGTGCCGTGTTAGTGCGTGTTTTTACTGGGACATCACCCATTCCTGGTGCTTCTTATTTGACCATTAATTTCTCTGTTTTTGGAACAGAATTGTTGCAATTAATACACAAATATTGATACATTATTATTAACTTGTATCTATATTCAGTTTCCCACAGCGGAGGCTCAGTCCCAGTGCTGGCGCCTCTGTGTGTTAGAGCCCTGACTGGTCTCCCAACCAGGGAGGCTGATGGGACCTCTGGGGTTCCTGGGGACGGAGTGGGGGGGGGATGGTCTGAAACAAAACCAGGGGGAGGAAGTGGGGCCTGAGAGAGGGTCTCAGCACTGTGCTGATGAGGGAGACCACTCGCTAGGCTGGGGTGGGGGAGGCTGTTGGCGGTTCTCATGCGTGGGAGGGGGTGGGATCAGATCCCTAATTTTGAAAGATCAGCTGGTCACAGTCTGGAGATTGGATGGGACGAGCCGGGGACAGGAAGCAGAGGGAGCCGGGAGAGGACTGGTTCGGGGTGCTGCTGGCCTGAGCGGAGGCAGGACCCTGAGTTTGCAGAGGAGCAGGGGTGTGAGGACTGGAGAGAGGCTGTGGTCAGTGCTGCCCTGAGCAGGAAGCCAGGCCGGTGCAGGAGTGAGTGCCCTCGGGGAGCTTGGCTGTGTGGACACCAGTAGGAGAGTGCGTTCTGCTGAAACAACACTATTTGCCAAACTCTTGATTTATTCAGCTCATAGAAGGGACACAGAAGGGAAGAGGGAGGGAGAGTGAGGCTGACCACACGTTGGGCAGGAGCTGAACACCCCACCTCGCTAAGTCCTCCCGGCTGCCCTGAAGGAGGCAGTTAACTCAGTCTGGCAGAGGAGGAGACTGAATCCATGAAATTGCACCGCTGGTGGGCGGTGGAGCCAGGAGCCAGCCCTGTCTTCTGCCACCTAGTGTGCAGCTAGTGAATAACACCTGAGTGCCAGTCATGAAAAACGATTCTCTTACCTAGTGTGCACCCTGCAAGGAACACCTGGCTGGTTCTCACGAAAATGCTTCTCTGCTGCCATCTCGTGATCACCTTGGGAATAACACTCAAGTGCAGGTCATGGAGAAAAGCCCTTTTTTGTTCCCATCGAGTGCGCATAAGTAACACCACGGTGAAGTTCATCAGGAGATACACTCCTTCTGCCACCTAAGCTGCACCACTGGTAGAAGCTCTTCTCCAGTGCCGTGTGGTGTGCAGCCAGCGAATACCAGGGTTTGTGCAAGGTTTGAGGACGGCATCATAGAAAGTCACTCACTGCTGCCATCTAGTGCTCACCTTTGAAGTAATGTGAGTGTAGCTCACAATAGAAAGTTTCTCATCTGCTGGCACACGTGCCACTAGGGAGTAGCTACGGTTCTACTACTGTCTGGTCAACATCTTGAAACTTACGGAGTGCGGTCCACTGAGGCTTGCCAGGGCCAAACTTTGGGGGGACCTGCACCCCCTCCTTCCAGAACTTCTCCCTTCGCACCCTCACTGCCTCCTGTACCTGGGGCCCCTGTACCTGCCTGTGGCCCTCCCACCTGCTGCTTGGTGCCCACCCTCCCCGTTCCTTACGAGCTGAGCTCACAAGTTTGTTGCTTAAAACAGGTGTTGGGGTTGAGAACGCCCGTCCCTGTTTGAGGGCACCTGGCTCTTAACAGTAAGGCCCCGGCTTCATCAGCTTGGTGACTCACAGGCCCCACTGGTGGTCGGCACCTCCTTGTCACCCCACCTCCAGGGCAGGGCACACACATACTGTCACTGCCGCCCCTCACAGGGCGGGAGGGGACTGAAGGCGCCGGGAGCCAGCCACGCCTCCTGCTGTGTGCCTGGCCCTGCGCGGGGCTCCCTGGGCTCCTGTCTCCGATCATCCCCAGCTCATTCCAGCCCTGCCCCCGCGCCAGGCCCGACCGCCTGCTCCCCTCTGCACGGCAGCTGGTGTCCAAACCCACCTCCAAGGCTGTGGGACCACGTGACCCTGAGGACACAGCTGCATGGGCTGTGGGGCCGTCTCCACCGGACACAGTGCACCCTGCCCAGGGTCGCCCTGGCCAGGCCCCTCTTCACCCCCGGGCCCAGAGGGAGAGTGTCTGGGGTGTGAGGAAGCCCTGACCTGGCCTGAGAGCTGTGCCTGTGTGGAGGCCCGGCCACGGCTCTTGTCTTCCCGTGACCTGTTCGGGACAGATGGGGACACATGGGGAAGGACCCGCCCGCCCAACCCGGGGGCCTGTCCACAGGAGCAGAGGAGTCCTGGCAGGGAGAGCGGGGAGGGCGCCTTCCAGCCAGACCCTGGGCTTGGTCCTGGAAAGGAACTCCGGGAACTGAACCCACAACACACCACAGCCCTCTGTGACCTTGGTGAGAAGAGCCCCAGCCCCCTGGCAGGGGGCAAGGAGGTCACAGGGTGGCTTCCAGGACTAAGGTGACATCTGTGTGGCTCATCATGCCCGTCCGCTTACACCTGCTGATCTTAGCAGCAGCCTCCATGAGCCACCAGCCACCACTCACACACAGCCCTCCCCCACCGCCCCTCGGTCCCTCGTCCGGGCTCTTCCTCTGTCCTCCCTGTCTCTCGTCTGCGTGTGCAAGGAGAGGCCAGGGCCACGGGCTCTCCTGGCTCTTAGGTTTGAACAGAGCATTACGGAAGATGAGCATTCAGGGGAGGGAGGAGGCAGGGCTTTCCCAGACACAGGGTGGGTCTTCCGTGACCACTGAGCACCAAGTCGCCTGTTGTAGCCCAAAAGATGTCACCTGTTGTCAGATGTTGCAGGAGGCCTGCGTGGATGTCCTTGACCTCAGCCTGTGCAACTCGACCCTGTGGTACGGAGGCCACGTGCGCTCCACCAACATGTGCGCAGGGTACCTGGGGGTTACATGGACGCCTGCCGGGTAACAGTCCCCAGGTGCCGGGCCCTTGCGGACCCCACTCCCTTGGGTCCCTTGGCTCCACACGCTCCAGCGCCCTGCCCTGGTGACCCTTTTCCCGGTCCCATATCTACAGTCACAATGAACATGGAGGTGACCCCCACCAGCTGCCCCTACCAAGGGCCAGTCACCACGTGCAGCGCCCCCTCACCCAACACAGAGACCACATCACCCAGGCTCCTCCCCGAGCCTTCACCTCCACGTGTACACACGTGCTGGTGTGGCCTGTGAAGCCACACGCCGGGATGCGTGGGCTCCTCGTCCCTCCTCACCGCAAGGGAACCCCGGGCCCGTCGCACCGTCCCATCCCCGCTGGCCCTTCACCAGAACCCCCTTGGTCCCCGGAGCAGGGACAGTGGCTCAGCACGGTGTGCGTCCTGTGCCCTCCTGGCAGGGGGACAGTGGCGGGCCTCTCATGTGCAAAAGAAGCACTAAAGACCCCTACGTGATCGTCGGAATCTCGAGCTGGGGGGTGGGCTGTGCCCGAGCGAAGCGCCCTGGAATCTACACGGCCACCTGGCCCTGTCTGAACTGGACTGCTTCCGAGATCGGGTCCAGGGCCTTGGAGACGCTTCAGCCGAGCGCCCCTCCCCCTCCCAGTGCGGCCACAGCCGCAGCTACAGTCTCCTCCTCCCGCCCCTCCGCCCGCCCTCCTTGGTACTTCCTGTACCCTTCTGCCTACCGACCGCCTGCATCCCGACCCCGGCCCTCAGCACAAGTCCCATCCCCACCCCCGCCTTCACCCCCACCCACACCTCCCCACCTCCTCCACCCCCATCTCCCACTAAACCTCCCGAAGCCCCTTCTCTCGCCAAACGACCGCAGCGGCTCACAGAGACCCTCAAGGGGAAGACCCTTTCCAGCGGAAGAAGCAGTGATAACGCGGAGGTCGTAGGCTTCACGGAGCTGGCCTCGCTGTCAACAGACCCAGGGAACCCGTCAGGCCTGAAAGGGAAAGAAAAAGATGAAATAAATAAATAAACAAGTATTTCTGCAATAAGAGCTGTTCTCTGGGTTTCTTACTGCCCTTCCCAGCCTGACCCAAACTCATACCGGCTCTACTTCCCTTCTCCACCTGCCGACAGGTGGGATATTGTACAGTGTACAGTGTACATGACGTCAACTATGTTTTCAAATCTTGATTTTTATTTATTTTTTAAAATATATTTTATTGATTATGCTATTACAATTGTCCCAACTTTTTCCCTTTGCCCCCCCCCCCCCCCCATGGTACCCCTCTTCCTCCCAGCAATCCCCACCTGAGTTCATGTCCGTGAGTCACGCTTATAAGTTCTCTGGCTTCTTCACTTCCTGTACCGTACTTTATACCCCTGTGGCTATTCCGTAACTACTTATTTGTATTTCTTAATTCCCTCACCTCTTCACCCCTCTCCCCACAACCCCTCCCACCTGATAACCCTCTAAATAATCTCCATACCTATGATTTTGTTCCTGTTCTGGTTGTTTGATTTGTT